TTTTCCATGATGGTTTAGCTTTAATTGATTCATGATCTCGACTACTGAAATAAAATTATTTGTTTAATATTATATCGATTTTGTAATCCGGACTTTAAATACTGAAAAACAAAGTGTAAATTATTTCAATCTTATTGGCAAATGATAAATTTGATATTTATGAATTTTAAAGCCATATAGCCATAGTAAGAATGTTAATAATCTTTCATTGAAGAATCATATGATCTGTTTGTTGATAAAATGCTTTGTTTACTTAACAAATCCAAATGAAGGTCAACTGATTACAATTGACTGGCTGTATTAGCTGGTTGACAATTTATTAATCTAGAATAACATATATAAGTGAACAATATTGTATTCGATTAGATCCTTATAAGGCTTTTCTCAAATATACAGTAATATTTATATGCATTTATGAAATTAATTAAACCAATCAAGGAAGTTCATAAGTCAATGATAACAATGGAAACAATTACATAATAAGTGAGAAGTACAAATCGGTAGTTTGATGACAGGTGTACTAGTTGTCATAAGAATAATAAAGGCTTGAATCAATATTACCTAATGGTAAATAGGTCAATGATTAGAAAACTTATTGACACTGAAATAAAATTCATAGAAAGATTATACGATTACGCAATAAGAGGTGTTCAGATAATTGGACCGTGAAGCGTCAGTCAGTCAGTTAGTAACAACGTAGAACTTCGTACATATGTACATCGGTCCGAATTGCCATACCACATTAGCACAGAGATGCAGTTGTCGATTCAAATCCCGTAGTAGTAGAGGTATAAGAGTATGGAAAATATTAATAGATAAAAAAATCATTTATTAAGGCCAAGGGAGAGATAAGGGTGCTTCACAGATTTCTTGCGAACACAAAATCTTGGATTGTTGGCACGGATTCCTATATCTTATGCTATGTGTAAGAGACCAGATCGAACATCATAAGGAAAACTAGTAGGAATACGATAAATAACTTTAAAGGACTTGCTTCTGTCCACTACATGACAACTATTGATCAAGTGTGATAGAACCGAGCTGCGTATTGTCTTGACATTACCTTTTTCTAAGCACGAAGGGAGGTGTTCACTAACACTTTGGTTCAGTTGTCTGGTGGTGCGCCCAATATAGCTTTCTCCACAGGAGCAGCTGAATTTGTAGATACACATAGAAGTGGCATAACCAGGTAACTTATCCTCTGTGGGTTTATATTATGTAATGCATGGTTAGTTTCACAAACTGTAAACACAGTTAACCACTTTTATATTGGCTCGAAAGAATGATATTATTTCGATTCTCGGATCCATGATTATTTTCTTCAAGAATATTCATAGTTAGTGAAATATAAGTATTTGTTCAATTTACCACTTCATAATTCTTGTCGTTATTCTATTTATCTGCATTAATATAGAATAAAGTATGTCCATTGGTTGTGAATAAGTTATTGATATGATGAAAATCCGCGAAATAAACAAATTAGCCTTACTCTGCTAAGCTTATTGATATTGATTTACTCGAAATTATCAATGAGAAAAATTGTATGAAATTTATAGATAATATTTTATCATAAGTTCTCATTGTACAGCTAACAATACCATATCTTGTTAATCTAGATGGTTGTGTAAGGACGGCCTACGGGTGAATTCGAAGGAGCTCAGAAAGAGCCGAAGACATTCCATTCAATCATCTTTTGGAAGAATGTTCCAGAATCCTTACATGTACCTTCCCTATTAGACAAATGCTAATAACCTGTATGCGGATTAGAAGACTATGACTTCGTTTTTACTAAAAACTATAAATACCTCAGAGTTTTGTACCATAATTGACACTGTTTTGGAATAGCATTCCTTTCACTTGTCTTCTCATTTTCGACTTGGGAGGGTCCTAGCGTTCGAGTGCTCTAGTTGTACGCAGTATAATAATAATAATTTAAGCTCTAGATATAACATCTGGAGCTCGCTAATATAGCGCTTTAGCTGTCACTCGTTATTTACAAGAAACAAAACATTTTATGAAAATTTTTCTCGGGTCAAAGTCGGTTGTATATCCTTATTTACAGAATGTAAACTTATATCATAAAGTTTTCAAGAATCCTGGTGTCATTTGAAGGTTTAAGAATACACTTGAAGTAAAGTTAACATTCCTTCGCCGACATATCGAGTTGTCGTGATGTCTTGCCTATAACATTACAGTCAGTATACTTGGTTTCAGGGACATAATTCTGTTGCTTCTCCACTCTTTACATTTAAAATCAAATTATTGTCATTCTGGAGAACACTTATATCCTTATGGTCTAGGATCCCTCTAATTTTTTCCGAATTTCCTTGGCGGTATGGAATTACCATCGAGTTCATCCATTCTTAACGTTGACCGATCATTTTTCCCAACTCCATGTCTTTGTCCTTCAGCTATGATTGGTTGGTAAACTCAACTAATCAGATACTTAGTGATTATTATCTTTTTTGATAAAACGTGTGCTGATCTGTAATCTAGATATTTCACAGAATATTTGGACTTAAGGAATACACTAATTTTGAAACAACTGTTTTCTTTCAAACAAATAGTCGAGAAATGAAAGTTTACGGTCAAGAAATGCGGTCTTTTTATGAACTTAGTGCTATGTGGTATAGTGTTAGAATGCTCAAAAGGTTCTAATCCATCTCGTTTTGTAATAACACGGTTGCTATCTGCGCTCCTCAAACAGACTTGGTCAACAAGTAAATTAGTTCCCAGTTAGTAACAATAGTGGAAAATGATGATCCCATAGTTAAAACTCCTGTTGATCTGTCAGTGACTAGACAAGAAAGGTTATTTGATCAGTAATTATACATATTGTTCTGTCCACGTGATTAACTACGTCCTGGATAAGCTATGTTGAGTTTCAGTAAACAAGAAATCCAGTTCCTGTGTGCTGTATTCATATTACGCGTTTATGGAAAATAAACTTTGTCATAAACCACACTTCACCACGTTAATCAAAACACTTATTTACTTCTTAGCCTTATTGTCACTCAATTGAAAGATAAAAGATGCAATCAAAATATATCATATGATTTAACAACGTAAATTTAAAGTACACATTACTTATATGTAGCGTTTTGAAGAAAAAGGATTAATTAAATTTAGATCAATTGACACTAATCAGGGTGATTCTTTGTCGCATGCACTTCATGAGACTAAGCGATACGATTAGTTAATCTTGGTACTAAACCTGAATTACAAGGGATACTTGGGTTCGAATAAGTACGTCTATGGGTGCTTCGTATTCCCCAAGTAATTTTGTGTATTGGAGTGACAAGTGGTATGTTGATAAACCGGATTTCCTATATTAACTCAGTAAAGATTCTTATATCTAACTTTGCTAACAGTTGTATAATATTACAATCCACACTAATTTCCAAAACGTTTTGTCAGTAAGGCTTCCTTCTAAGGGGTTACCAATTAGTTTCTAAACTCGCCAGTTCATACCTCATGTATTGGATATTTGTAAAACAAACCCTAAAAATATTTTAGTCTGATGAGCTTTTGAGAATTTACCAGAAGTTATCAGTCGCATGCGAAAATCTTAGGCGATACATCAAACTACTTTGAGTGATTTTATACACTCAACCTAAGTACCTTGTATCCTGGATTTTATGAACTGTGCAACATACTGTTCTCCATGGTGAAGTTCTCTTCCTCAATTCACAACTCTTAGTAGTGAAAATCTCCATTTGAACCGACAGGTCCTACCAGCCTAGCATATGTTGTAGAGTAAATAAAAAGTCTGCACCCAAATGCTCTGGTACAGCCGAGTCGGGAGAGTCAACTATTCCCTCTCCAAATGCTCTCATATGGACACGTGCATACAACCACTGTCACATAAATCCTACTCATTGCCTTTTCGTGGCATTACTACTCTTTACGAGAAGACGAAAAGCGAATGACCGGCGCTTTGACCAGGTTGATGGACACGGAGAGTCCACCTAAGGGAGTTGAAAAACCTTCATTCGAAACCAATGGTGCACATAGGCTCCAGTATCCTGAAGGAACCAATGGCGTATGAACCAATCATTAGTCACCAGCTACAATGGGACTGCATCTGCTTACGATACTCCACTGCCTTGTGGATTAGACCTTTAGGTCGAAGGCTTGAGGTGTGGCCCCCTAAGCAACCCACGTGGTTCTGTTTGGGCACCCGGGTAGTATTCCAGCCCTCACATAAACCGAATGATTTATGTGGCGCATATCTATTTGATGCCTTCTTGTACCAATGTTTACGTATTTAAATAAATAATAAATAAAAAGTTTAAAGAAGCCATTAGAAAGGATAAGACTTGTTGGACTATAATTCAAAAAAATCTTTAGTTATTAATTAACTCATATCCCTAACAAACTTGTATATTGTATACGAAATTACGATCATATTTGTAAGCGACACATATGCACTGTGCTTTTATTTAGCTATCAATCAGCTATAAATTGAATGGTTCATATCAATTATAAACTCCCATCATCAAGTGAATGAAAAAGTAAGTGGTTTATGCAATGATTTTGGATATTCACAAAAAGTAAACAAAAAGACAACCAAGTAAAAAACAATATCAGTTTTTTCTCCAAACAAAAACAACAGAAAATAGCTGAATAGAAAAGAAAAAAAATAGTAATCAAAAATTGAAGCAAGTACAAAAATCCAACTCAAAATTGTGTCATAATGATAAGCTTAAAAAAAGTTTACATAACCGAAACAACAATCGAAGAGTTCTACGGAATTCCTTAGCGTAAAGCAATGCAATAAAATTAAAGTTAATTTAGATTTACTAAAGAAATTCTAATCATGTTTATTTCTTTCATTTGTTCAATAAAAAGAGGAAGACTAAATAAAATAAACAAATTTAACAAACAAACAAAAACAATTACCAAATAGAAGTGAAGTGATTAATAATGACCATCTGTATATTTTTCTTTTGTACAGTAACCATTTGTTTTGTTTTTTCTTTTTATTACAGATATATTTATCAAATAATTATAGACATAGCAGAAGATAAAAATTCTTCAAAACTGAATTGTGCATATCCATTACGATTTATATCATATCGTCTAAAAGAGTTTGTGAGAATCTACGAGAAAAGAAGACAAAAGATTGATTTAGAAAGGAGGAACATTTAGAATTAAGAACTAGATGTTTATATTTACACATGTTAATTCTATAAACAATCTGAATGAAAAATTAATCTGGAAAGGATGTCAAGAAACAGTATGATTGTTGGCCTCTGATAAGTATGACGGTGTTCTAACATTTGGCGATGACGATATTTACTGGAAATTCTATTCACAAGCATAGAGAAAAACTATTCCTACCGACAAGCTATAAACCTGACCTTTTACAACCAGACTGACATCACACAGACTCAGATTGGCATAAATCGCTAAGACTTGCTGTAAGTAAGTTGATGCCATTTGTCACGCCAACATCAGCACTCATACAATAACCAAGATACATAGGCTTTCCAACTATTCCTAACGGATCTCCACAGAGCGAGTGTGTCCACATGTTGTTGTCGGTCACATAGAAGTAGTTTCCACTTAGAAGATGGAAAGTGCATGCCAAACTTACGAACACTGATTGTTAACTGATTCAGTTGGTCGTAAGCTAACGCAGAACCTGGAAAATATGAGGAGTGGTTCATATTGTCACAACATATCAACACAATGATGAAGTTGTTAAGTACTGGAGTATTAGAAGCAGCAACAATATCAGTGGTAGTAGAAAACATTAGCCGTAGACAATATAATTCAATAAGAAGGAACATGAAGGACAAAACAGAAGTGTAAGATATTTTTAGGAACTGAGGTTTAAGGGAGGACAAAGAGTGGATAGGATCAAATCAGTGCGATTGATTCTGGACCATATCACATAACGTATCTAACTATTGGTTACAGTGACCGCGCGAACCTAAACCAAGTAATTTGCACCTACCAGGTGACGGCATTAGATGAGGAATTCCATTTTCGCAGCATCGTGTATTTTACAGTAAATCCTCAATATTTTAATGTTAAACTAAATAAACCTAACCGCATCGTTTAATGTTACAGCGATAAAAGCTAAACCATACTCGAATAGTGTTTCACTCAGAATCCTGGTAATAGTTTCTCCACCTCGTGTGTAGTATGTTACCTATAACTTATGGTCCTAATCCTTGACTAATGATACGATTCTACTAACAAGATTAACATTGAATTGAGGCTGAGATAATCTTGACTCTTTGGTTCACATCTATTGTTAGTCTTATGTTCGAACAAGAGAACACAGTGGGAAAACTTGTCATATTTCAGGCACCCAATCTACATATTTTTTACACCAAATATTCGCTAGTTTATATGCGTTAACTATCAGAACGTGACGTACCTCAAATAAGAAATCAAACTTTAGAGAAAATTTCACTATACGTGGCAGAGGGCGGGTTAAAAGGTGAGTAAATAATCAACGAAAATTATGGAACAATAAAAAAGATGACCAATAAGTTCAAAGAAAGCTCACAATACAAGGAATATAGTAGTACAATAAACCAGTTGTCTAATAATCATACAATAAAAAATATCAACAGTAACAATCCGAAAATCAGTGTTCAAAACTCGCTCTGTTATAACACTAAATGACAAGTAAAGTCACTAATTATCATCTGATCATGCAAAGTTCAATGGTGGTAGCCATTATCGTGAGTGAAAATATACTAAAAGTCGAACCTCTAATTAAACGCATCTAATTTCGAGATGAAGATTCAATATGGATTTTCGCCTTAATCTTAAACAGTCTACCTTTTTATATCTTAACTACTGGACTTAATAAAAGGTTTATTTTCAGTGATCTAGCTCACTTATATGTACTTACTTGGAGACATACACAAGCAAAAATAAAGTCATCGAAGGCGATCTGTCCTTGTTTATTACGGTCGAAACGACCGATCATCATTTTTATAAAACAAGGAGAGAGTCGGTAACCAAAACAGGACAATGCACTTTGGAACTCTCTAGCATCGAGTAATCCAGATCTATCCTGATCATATTGACGAAAACACCGTTGCCAATCCTGAACATATTTGAATAAATAGGCGAACTCTCTTAAATCAATGGTTCCATTTCTGTCTTGGTCAAACATTGAAATCATCAGCTGAACAGTCCTAGTGTTGAACGGTGTACCTATACCTTTAAAAATTAGCAGAATAATTGTTAACTGAGAAATGTTTCTAATCCTGAAATATTAACTAAGTTGATAAATACAAGAACTGCCAAAATATAATTAAAAGGAAGTTTTTGAAGTGAAAAAACTGTGCAAACGTGATTACAACAAACTTGATTTCGCTGTTTAGCTACTTAGTTAGCCACTGTAGAACTTCACGATAAAAGAACTCAGTCAGAAAAGTCATAGAATCTTTATAACATTTAATAGCAACTAACAAGCTCAATTATATGGACCTAAAACTTAAAAGTAGCAGATTCTTGTAATTTCTAGGGAAATAAACAGCAACAGTAAATAACCAAGCCGATGTCCTAAAAAGAAGCGATATTTATGAGACGATAAAAAGGAACCGAACAGTGAGTAAGCGAAAATCCAGGAGTACGAAGAGGAAAACCGACTGATATTATAAGGTAGTCAGATCTTGGAGGTGAATTCTATCAGGGAATATACAGACATATCGTATAAACGAAAAGTTTTGTTTGTGAACGACAGAAGTCCTGGAAGTAAGTTGAGTGAAGTAGAAGGTTTAGAGTGTGAACAAAGTCAATTTACTATTGTCACCGATGAAAGATTTGAGCAGTGCTTACATATAGTTGGGTTAAAGGTTTCTATGAATTGATAGAGAATACTGTAAAGTGGGGCATTGCTTTGCATAAAAACTCTAGACAACATTTTAACTTTTAAACCTCACTGTACCAAGACTTGGTGGGGGGGGGTAGCCAGTTGTTAAGTCACTCTTGACAGTTGTACATCTCCCAGGTGGTATGCAATATTCTGTCCTACTCTATTCATCTAAATGCTTTGTGTTAAGACAAACTGAATCCGACAGTGAAAGTCGACTGTTGATTGCACAGGACTTTAACACATCTACCTCAAATTTCGTAGACATCATTAGTGATTCCACACATCAGACAGCAGGATACTTTTGATCATGATGGGACACACCTTAATGCGTCAGCTAATAAACGATGTGATATCTACAACCACAGATACTCGCTATTGCGCTTAATCCTGAGTTGTAAGAATTACGATATCAACTAATACTGACCACCCAGTCCTGGTAATTAAGTTTTAATGTTGAGTGTTATCAGACTGCTAAAATGTATTGCTTGAAAATACAAGCCACTACGGGGTTTATCACACTTATGAAGTGCCCAACTGATATGAAGAAATTTTACATATCCAAGAGTTGAGTCGACACTTGAAGTTGGTGTATACGGACTCTTAAATGGCTTAAGATTCTTGAAGGTTGAAGAGTTAAAAGGAAAGTTTGGAAGAATAGACTACTTCATACTACTTTTTCCCAAGTGCTTACAAGGAGACAAAACAATAAAATTGCTGTTACTAAGAAACACGTTTGCATACCATTTGATAGTGCCGACTGTAGCTCCATGTGATCAATACTTCCGTCTCTGTTCCTGTCCACACTGAAATGAACGTCACTGAAGTAATTTTAACATTTACGTTTCAAAAATCCTCCTGACTGCTTGTTCGTCTTGCATATGTCTAATAAAATACTAAGAAAATGACTACTATGTCCTTGTCTTTTTAAATAACCGCATTCAATACCCAATGCCTTACTGATGAGCTTTCATAAAGCAGTTGATTTCTTTGCGCTCGCTTCTTGTTTTTTCAAAACGAGTATAGGATTTTGGTAAAATCTCGTAGGCAGTAATTTAGACACTCAACTGTATTAGTTTTCAGTAATAAGGAAAGTAGGTTGATGAACCTGTGTCAATCCTGACAGATTGCCTTCCACATTGAAGGTCCAGCTTCTCCTTGAAAATATTCACTGACGAGGCTGATGTTACTTGTTCAAGCAAGGTGTTCCAGTCATTGACTACTCGATGAGAAATACGGGACCCCATTTTTAAGTTTATTAAATCGCAGTTTTCGAACCTTCTTGCCATGGCCTCGGAGATTATTAGTGCTGGAAGGAATTTAAAGATAAGACATTAAGTCACAATTGAAGATGCAAAATGCCAGTATAAGCTCACCTCGCGCCCTGCGATACAACAAGGAGGAAAGATTTAGACGCTTTAAGCGTTAATCATAAGGGAGTTTAGAAAGACCCTTCATTAATTTTGTTCCCACACGGTGAACACGCTCAAGTGAGTTGGTATGCTTTATCAGACATAGGCTGTCTGTTTGGATACAGTACTCTAAGTGTGGTCTTACATAGGTGAGATATGGAATTTGAAAAATTTCTTCGTCAAAGCATTTGAATGCTCGATGAGGTGACCATAACGCACTAAAACCTTTGATAGCAGCTGCGTTGCAATGAGTAATTGTTTTCAAGTCATAGCTTATTATGACTCCTAAGCTTTTATGTTCTTGAACAACTAATGATGATTAAAAGCCAGATAGGAATGAGTCAGTGGTGTATGATGATAGTAATGTTAGGTCAGTTAAAAGATATCCCCCAGATTGGGCTCGCCCACGTGGGAGAATGTTTTCCATGGATCGGTACGTGTTTGTCATAGTTAATCTTGAGGCTACCCACCTTTTTTATGGTATTTTCTATCTGAAAATCAATGATCTTAGACAAATGAGTGACTTGGAGTTAGTCTGAAGGCAACTTGGTGATTTGTATGCATGGATAATGTAGTATCATCTGTCACTAGCAAACTCATCCTGCAGGCAAGTCACTGAACGTCGAGCAGTTTGCCGACCTTTGTCAAGCTCAAGGACGCACAATGCGCACCAATCAACTGCTTGCCATGGACAGTTACATGAGTAGTGGTTTTGCCTAGTGTTTCTTCTGAACCGGAGAGAAACGACAAGAACCGAGCGCCAAAGAATTAGTCAGTTTATATAAGCTTGTGATAAAGTTATTGGGTATGCTATTGCATATTAGGAGGCTGGTTGGTTGTAATGTAGCGTTATATCATGTCTAGGGAATTCGTGTTAAGTCCTCACAGTTTCTGACGTTCATGAGTAATAAGCGCAAGACTCAGGTGTAGTGAGTTGTGATGGGCGGGAGGTCAGAAAGCACTTATGGCTTTTATTTTGTGTATGTCTTGGCGATGTGATAATCCACACCACTGTTATTTAGTTCATACAACACTTTTCTGGAATTCATCATGTTAGCCCTAAGACTCCGCAGACCACTATGCTAGATCGTTCTTTGTCTATTTTTGGGGGTTTCCTTGAAGTTTTTCGTATTAACAACCACTTGTCATTGGAAAACTCTAGTAGCTGAATAATTCTCAAGCGCTGGGTTCTGTGACACAAAGACGGTTCCTTATGCTATGTGAACAGGGTCCAGTATCTGTTGATGGATGAGTTCATCTTCCGTCCTATTTTAGCAAACATACTAACAAAAAATTGCTTTGCTAGTCCTCATACCAAGTAAGATGCGTTATTTATTTCTTTGCTGCCTGTTGGAAGCTTTCTTGCTTTCCTGTATCATACTCTTCTAAGCTGAGGTGGGAAAGGAATTAGGGAACTTCGTTCACTGTCTCTTAGACGAGTTTATTTGTGCGTCTGCGTCGTTATTCTTTTTCATTATGGCCATTATTATTACCCTTCTGACCATTGGGTTCAATGTATATTGTACTGTCGAGGAAAGACGTAGGCGGTTTCGGTACTGTATGTGAAGCCTGATATTTCTATACCATCGACTAAATTGAAGGATTTTGCCTACACATTGGGTACACGTACCAAACGCATGTGGATGAGTGGTTCGCCATGAAAGCGTAGTACTGTTTGGGTACTGTTGTATTAGAAAGAGAAATGGACCAAAATATCATAGAATTAGTGAGGAAACCGCAAGTTATATGTTCCAGCTAGTGAAGATCGTGTTATTATATCATAACTGATCTCAGAGAAGTTGTGGTGGGAGATCTATTGGTGTCATTTGTTACAACCAGAATCCATTTTTTCAGGGCACATTTTCTCATTTAGGCTGGGTCTGTTTGTTTCAAATACCTCGCCTAGAGTCACTTATATTATGGTTGGTAAGGATTTGTGGAGAAATGTCAAACCAAAAAATGAATGTTATTTATTATTATTACTGGTTTCAGAATCTTTTATTCAGCTATAATAGCTGAGTGATAATTATCACGTGCAATGCGTTTGGAGCTTGTGATATTGAATTTGAACTCTGAGTAGTTGTCCATTCTATTTTCATGTTCGGTAGCAGATTGATGATGGAATATTTAGTCTTCAGTTCTGAATACTGGGTCACGAATCTACCAAGTCTAGCAGTTACCGTTTGTCTCGGAGTTCAACCGGTCATAAACTTTTGTCCATCTTGTCAGAATTCTTGATCTTGTCTTTCAGTTCGATTAGTCTTTGAGAATGGTCTAATTTGGAGTTTTTTAATCCATTTCTCCTCTGTGAGATTACTCGTTATCTGGAAACTACGGGATTATGCTTGCTTGTGAAAAAGTGTGCCGTTTGCCTGCTGTTATGTTGGGTAAAGATGATCCTAATAATGTTAATGGCTTTTTGATAAATTGTTTGACAAGACTGGGACAGAAACGTAGTAACCCACCTCAAGATGTCGCAGAGGATGGGTACTCAGGCTCCATGACTATGTATCTGAGAGCTTGAGTGGAGATTCAGCATGTTGATTCATTTTTGTTTGAAAACTAGGTGTTTCCATCTAATTAGGGAATGTCAGAAGAAATACAGTTGATGTATAAATAAGGCTGCCTATAGAAGTAGCTGCCGACCCTACTCAATTTTTTAAGATTTTGATTACTCATTTGGTCACTTAAAGGTTTGGGGGTTATTAAAAATCCCTGTTGAAGACAATCTGTGGTAGATTGTTAATTTTTTGAGGTATAGAGGGCTAACAGTCTGGTTCATAAGGGACGACTAGATTTTTAAACACTGCTCAAGTCTAGGAATACCTGATTATTCTTGAATATGGGATTGGAATTAAACCCCATGTACTGGTCGAACATTATGGTTAAATGATTCTATAATGATTTGAAACGAAGTGGATTAAGTCTAGTCCAAACATGGATGAAGAATTAGAGCATACGTTTGTAGATATATTATATATAATTCTTTGAGAGGATTCTTTGTGTCAGTACAACCGACTTTAGAAACAGATGAACCTATCTCTTCTAGAGCACGACCGTATGATCTCAGTTCAGCTCAACTACTGGACGGAATAAAGAAATGCGTTTTTTTCATTCAAGTCACTGAGGTGTTAAAAATTTTTTTAAGCTCTTGGCACAAAAGAGAATGGGGATTATAAAATAAACTCTCACGCTTTTATTGTTCAAAAAATGGACATCAGACACCCACAGTCAAAATTCAGTTCATTATTGAAAATTGAGAAACGAAACACCAGTGAATTTCCAGCCAACTATTTGAGAAATAAGAAATGTTTTAGTGATACATTTCAGGAAACCTTCCGTTAATAATTGGGACTCCTTACTTATTAACCACCCCCGTCAGCGTCTAATCTTTGTCACTCGCCTTTTCGCTAACTAATATAGAATTCGCCTAATGACAAGGCAATCAAAGAAGACTCGGTGCTTCATGCTGAAGCTAAGAGAGCAGCGGAAAATTTTGAGTCTTTGGAGGTTTCAAGTAAAGCTGATCTAATCAAGTGGCTTTAGTAGTCCTGCGAAATACAAATACTATCGAGAGCTGTAACTCAGCAGTGTTGTGTTTTATATGGTACGTTGTCTAATTGTTAAAATTTTGTCTCTATTACTTAAGTCATTTCCCAAACCCATTTCGTGTTTTTCAGTGTATTGATCGTAGAAGAATGTGGTTGCTGGAATTAAGGTATGATTAAAAAATGTTCACTTTCCATTTGATTTATCTAGTCAGACTATCAAAAAAGTTGAAGTGTGCTGTGTTGTTCAATCCCATTAAGATCACTGCGCTGGTCCTTGGGTTCGGCTTTAAATAAGTTAGAGGTAACCGGTCAAAATGATTTGACTACTGACTCAGAAGTTGCTATGGATAAGGATATAAATACTTTTATCATTGAAAACGTATTACACCTTAAGAATATTTAGATTGAGTTTTATCCATGTTCGTTCTGTGATTCCTTACACTTCGTGCCTTGTTCACTTGATACAATTTGGCCTTACGCTCAAGTATGTTGGAAATATAATCTTAAAACAACTGGTATTCAACGTTTTTGTTTCTCATTTTTAAAACTGTTTGTTAGGTAATCTAAGCGGTTTAAGAAAATTTACCGGATTAGTTTGAAGACTATAATGTCAGAGCCACATTTTGCTCACGGAAATTTCCTGTTTAGAACTGACTTCCTAACACTGCACACCGATTAATACTAATATTAAATTCACAATGAGCAAGTATTGTTTATTCTATCTAAGTGAGCATAAAACGATTAGAGAATCTCAGCATCATAGCCAGATAACTTTCAGCATTTTTCGAGATTGGACTTGGGAGAAGTAAATCTCTATGCTTTAAATATTTTTTGACTATGCTCGTTCCCAGCATTTGATAAAATCTGAATTGATCAGAATCAGGAAACAGGAAATTTCAAATTGCTAGTACCTCCATA